GACGCCCATTGTAGGTCGTCCGTCAAAATATCTGAAGATCCGAATGCGGGATTCTCCCCAAACCTTGCTCAGCTGATCCAGCACGAGGGACAACTGTCCCCGCCCTGCACGAACTTGGTGTGAGGGATCTTCAATCCTCGACGTCAGACTCTGTGAACCCGAGACGACACGCCGCACCGTCCACCGACCCCCGGCGCCGCGGCGGCGGCGCCCCGGCGGCCGCGCCACCCAGTGTGGTCATTTGAGAGTTCCGGGTTATTTACAAGCGCCCCCCAAAAATGGCGGCCACAAATATGGCCATACGACGCAACCCAAGGCCCAAGCCCTAGCCCGGCTAGCGCTGGCGCGCGCGGGACACAGGAGGTATCGATCGACAGGAACTCAGAACCAGAGAATGACAAGTTACCGGTCACCGCGTTTCGCGCGATATACAGAAAGATTTCTGGTCGCCTCTCGGCAGCCCACGCCATTGCCGCCAAGGCCAGCAAGGCCTGCGGCTGGCTGAGCCTGCGCATAGCAAAAGTGTCAAGCCCGCGATCACTCTGCTCCATCACCAGGCGTTGCCTCCTCCGCAAGTGGAGGGTCGAAGACACGGAGCACGCTCCCTCGCTTCTTCTCAACGGCCCACCTGAGAAGGGTGTGTAGATTGAGGGTCGCGAATCGACAAGGGTACCCTCCTGCGGGCTACGTAGTTAGTTGCACACACTTTTTCGCAGTATTGCCTGAGTTGTCCTCGACGTCGACATCTGCGCCCTCATCGAGGAGGATCTGCACTGTCTCAGCTCGGTTTGCGTATGACGCGTGAATGAGGGCCGTCACTCCATCCTCGTCGCGCTGATCGATGATGGATTTTGCGCCCGCAGATAGCAGGTAGCGCGTCACCTGTAGGAATTTGAGCGCTCATTCACTGCGCACCTGGTGCTGGCCTGATATCCAAGCTGTGGGCGAGACTAGCTGAACAGCTTTTCTCGTAGGATTCCTCGACGAGGCGGCGGCGAAGGCGGAGGAGGAGCAGTGGCAGGGGGCAGGGCGCAGCGGTAGCACACCTCTGGATCTCGACAGCCCGCGGCCCAGTGCAGCGGAGTGAGGCCCATCTGGTCGGTGACGGCAATCTCGGCGCCTTTCTCGACCAGCAACCGGGCGCAATCGGTTGCTCCTGCCCCGCAGGTTAGGTGTAGAGGCCTCAGTCCCTCTGTTCCCGACTGGAGGAGGTTGGGGTCGAGGCTCTTCTCGTTGACATAGAGCTCGATCTGGACACGGTTGCCAGTGGCACAGGCGACGAGGAACTTCTTCTGTTCTTCGGTCAGTTCCGCCACGATTGGCGCCTGCGCGGGCTCAGCATCGGCCGCCTCCTCGTCGGCCGCCGGCTCCTGGGGCTCCTCGGCCATCACTTGCGTAACAGTCGAGAACTCTGTTTTTTAAGCTTAGCCTTCGATGTTATGAAACAAACGCAAGGCGGACATGGCATATCGCTCTCGGGCCCACAGACCTCCCGCACACTCGCCGCACACCCGCCGCCCCCGCGCGCGCCCCGCCCCGGCCGGGAGAAAGGGGAGTGACAGTTTGGGATGGCAACAGAACGAGTATGTTGAGTCCTGGCTCAACAACGCAGAGAGAAATGAAAGCTGTCCGGCTCCCAAGTCCGGCTCGCGCGCCCCGACTGACCGATCTACCGCACTGAACACTTTCGCCCCCTCGCTCCCAACCCATCCACCCCGCCCCGGGCCGCGCCGCGCGATCTCGGGCCGCGCGATCTCGGGCGATCTCGGGCCGCGCCGCGTGACCTCGGGCGATCTCGCACAATCTCGCGCAATCCCGGAGCTCCACGCCACGCCACTCCACCCCACCCCACCTCACCCACCGCCGCGCCGCGCTATCTCGGGCGATCTCGGAGCGTCGCTCGCGCGGCGTCACACCTGCTCAAAAAAGGAAGGGCCTGGTTGGAGCCACGGGGCTCACGAGGACGTGCTCGCTCGGTTCTCGCCGCCTCGCCCTGCGCCACTTGGGCCGGTGAGGCGGCGCCCCGCGCGGCGCGTCCCTCGCCCCGTCACGCCGACCCCTGCGCGCACCGCTCATCTTCAGCCCTCTTGGGGTTACTCTTGCGCTCACGCAGGGGAACCCGGCGGTACTCCCTTCCCCCCACCTCCGACGGGTTAGGTCGGTTCTGCGCCCCTTGGCGCCTGTGCATGTCCCGCGTGCCCGCCTGCCAGGGCTGATGCCAAGGCCAAATCAACAACATGCCCGGCTGATGCCAGGGCCAAACCCACTGCCCGGCTGGTGCCAAGGCTCAATGACTCTCTTCTCCGTCTCTTGCCCCCCCCCACCCAGACAGGACTGATCCGCATGACACACGACACACTCTCTCCTACTATCCGACAGACGCTGCTTGACCGACACGGGACGCTCTGACAGGACACTACTGAGACGACTACCTCTACTCCCTACCGCTACTACTCGACTGGTGCTAGCCTTCGATGTTATGAAAAGTTTTTTATTCGCGTGGTTTCTTTAGGTTTCTTGTTGCCAACAAAGAGAGAACTCACACAAAAACAGCGAGTTCGTAAGGCTGCCTAAGAGCTCCATAACTGGAACCTTTTTCGAGTTACGTTGCGCATTTTCTTTGCAAGCGGAAGCGCCCGCCGATCGCCCCCGCCCCGCCGGCCATGGGCGTGGCGGCCGAGTCTGCGACGTGCAAGGCCCTCGCAGAGCAGCAGTGCGTCTTCATCATTGCACTCGGGCGCACAGGAAGCTCCCACCTGCTCCGATTGCTCAACAGCATCGACGGGTACAGACTCAGCGGCGAGACAGACAACGCATGGATCTATCTCGGTCGCTTCCTGCAGTGGAGTGGGAAGGATACCACCCAACGCAGGCACCTGGGAAGGCTGGCTGCCGGGAGGGGTGGCACAAATTACAGCGATGCGATCTGTCACGCGCGACGGATGATGACCCTGCTGCACAACCCGCTGCCTCGAGCGAGGTGTGCGCCGCTGGACGGGCGGGCGCCGCTCCCTTGCTGGGCCGTCATTGACCGGCCAGCCCTCTGCGCAGGGTCTTCGGTTTCAAGGAGATCTACTCAGACTTGGTGCGGCGGAGCTCTGCCCACTCGGAGATCTTCATGCACGGCGTCGAGCAGATCCGGACACTGTTCCCGCGCGCCAAGTTCATTTTTCACTGGCGGCGCAACACCTCGCGCATTGCGGCCTCCGACTTTTGGCAGCTCGAGCGGCAGAGCGCTGTGGCGAGGCGCAATTTTGAGCGCCTGGTCGGGCGATTCCGGGAGTACGCAGCGGCGCACCCGGACTACACCTACGAGACGACCCTCGAGGGCATCACCAACAAGAGCGACCCGCGCCAGCTCGAGGGCCTCTTCCGCTTCCTCGGCGAGACGCTCGTTCCACGGCTGCGCAAGATGGCTTACCGACGGGGCGGGATGCGTGATTGGGTGGAGGAGACGCACACCCGTAAGATCAAGCGCACCCTCGAGAACGGCTCTGTCGTCTACGACTTTGTGTCCTATGCGTGGCGGCCTGAGGAGCTGATGAGGAGGAGGGGCGGTGGCGCAGGCGATGGCGGCGAGTAGATCGCGTGTCGTGTCCTAGGGCGCGGGGCTACATACACGCAGGGCGCCGGCGGCGGGAGCGTCGTCGCAACACCTCGGACGTCGCGCGGAGTCCGGAGGGACCGGCGACGCGACGAGTCCGCGCAGCGCCGTCGAGCCGCGAGCTGTGCCTCAGGGCTCAGCCTGTGCGAGGCTGAGCGGTCGTTCGGGCCGGTCGCACGACGCTCTTTGCCCTAGCTACGTGAGGTGGAGAAGAGAGAGCTGCCGATCCGTGTTGTAACCCCACGCCTAGAACCCCAGAGTCCGCGCCCACACCGATCACCGTCCCCCGCAAAAAAAACGAAAAGATTTGTATATAGAGAGTACAGTTGTTTTCCGTCACTTAGCAATCAGCCCCAGTTGTCAGAGGGAAATGGCATGATCATGAGGCTCACATGCACATACACATGTGTACACTGCTCACTGGTACCTGGCGGTCGAAGCGGGCGGCGCTCTCCCAGACACCTGCCCCAAGGCGGCCCCAACTCTCACCCTCGACAACGCTGTCGCTCAAGATGCTGGACGTCTGTGGCGGAAGGCCGCTGGCCGTATGCTTGCCATGCACGGCATGCCCCTCCTTCGCATGCACATCATCGCCCTCCTACAGCCCTCCCGCCCCGCCCGCAGCCGCCCCGCCCCGCCGCAGCACCGCAACACCGTTTTGCCGCCGACGCAACTCTGAGCACCACAGCCCTCCTACAGCCCTCCTCAGCCCGCCGCCTCAATCTCCTGCCGCCTCGCGCCACACCCCCGCTGGCCTCCCTGCCCGCCCCAGGCGGACGGTGGCCTCTCTCAGGAGAGCATGGCAGGAAAGGACAGGCGGCGGAGGAGTCGGGAGGAGGAGGCGGCGCTCACATCATCTCCTTGCTGGCGGGTGTCTTGCCGAGCCGGCTCGCCGCGCTGTTCCTGCCTCCCGCGGCCAGGTAGGGCGCCACCCTCCCTCCCCTGCGAGTTGGAGGGGGTGGTGTGCAACGGGTCGGCGGCGTCGGAGGGGCCGGGGCTGTGAGGAGGCGATGGAGAGGAGGTGCTGAGACGGGTCGCGCACCGCTCGCACTCATCGCGCAACGCGTAAGCCCGCGCCCACGTCTCGCGCCACGTCGCCTCGAGCGCGGCGTGGAACTCCTCAAACGTCGCGTGCTCGGACGGCCGCACCTACACCACACCCCACGCCTCCTCCTCAAGTCTCTCCTCAAACCTCCCGCCTTCGGCCCGCTGCGGCTCAGGCGTGCCGGCGCGGCGGCGCGGGCGCGGTAGAGGGTGGTGTTGTACGAGGCGCGCCCGTGCCGCTCGTTGACAATGCGCTCCTACGGCGACGAGGCGGAGGCGTCTTCCTCCCTCCTCTCTCCGCGGCGGCGCACTACTGCCTCTCGGGCCCGCCTTGTTGGCGGTGATGACGACGAGGGCGTCGCGTCGGCTCTCCCAGATGTTCTTGAGGCCGCCGACGCCGGCGAGGGCGACGGGGAGGTCGGAGCCGGGCGTGCCTGCCCGCCGCGTGCCCTCGGGGAAGATGAGGTACCGATCGTGCGAGCGGCACATGTCGAGGAGCTGCGCCCGCGACGTCTTTCCACGCTCAATCATGATCACGCGTGAGCAGAGCCTGCCCAGCACGCCGGCGAAGCAGGTGACGGCGACGGCGGCGAAGCGGGCGACGACCGCGCAGTGGCCCTGGTACGGGTCCACCACGAAGTCGCCCCACGAGCGGTGGTTCATCAGGAGCACCCCGCGGAAAGATGTGATGCCCGGGATGGCGAGGCCGTCGGCCGCGCCAGTGGAGGCGCCCGTGTCGGCGTCGAGTATCCGCACGCCGTGACCACGCAGGTACATGCAGCACAGCGTGTCCCACGGCGTCACCAGCCACAGCGGCACCTCGTAGCCCGTGAGAGCGAGGATTGCCCTGGACGTCGCCCAGATGAAGAGCGCCACAAACGGCATCGGCAGGCCCCAGAACGCCTGGTCCAGAACCAGAAAGAGCATGCCAAGCGCAAACCAGAGTCCGCTCGGCTTTGGCTCGATCGGGGGCGTGTGTACAGCAGGCGCGCACATCGTCGATGGCCGGGTGCAGACGAGAGCCGGGTGCGAGAGCCCCGGTGCAGGACGACGAAGGAATCGCGCCCGCAGCATCGCGTTGGAAACTATTTTTTCCTTGCAGAGCTTGCTTGAGCACTTGAGCACTGGATAGGGCCGATTCCGCGTGGTACGGGACCCCTCGATCGTCTCGCCCTCCCTCACTGGTATGTTCATTGGGGGGGGTCATAACAAACACGGTGCAGGATCGAGGTGCACGCTGCCGAGGCAGTGTCGTCCCCCCTCTCCCCGACGGCGATGGCGGTGTGACCGATCGAGCTACAAGAGGAGCTTGTTCAGCAGGATCTGGGATAGTCTGGCGCACTACCTCACTGGGCCTGAGACCGCCGCGACAGCATCCCATCACCCCTCCGGGTTTGTGTGGTTGATCAGCACCACGTGCTCGTCAGCAAGAGCAAAGTACGTGTGTACGACGCCAAGGAGGCGGCTGGTGAGACCGTCACCATCGGTATGCGGAAGGGCGACCAGCTTGCAAACGGATCGAAGGACATTCCGTGCGAGCACAACATTCGTCACAACGGCACCATGTATGCGGCGGCCAACATGGTGGTCCGCGCACGAGCCTGCGGCAAGCTCGTGCTCGGTGACAAGGCGAACCCTCAGACGACTTTCCATCTCAACGAGGGGCACGTCACCGACATGTGTGAGATCGGCGGGGACCTGCAGTCCCAGCGCGATGTCCACTACGAAGTCAAGGTCAAAAGAGCACAAGGCTCAAGGGACAGTACGACGCGCTCCATGTCAAGAACGGAATCGTCAAAATTTGTCTCGTCGAAAGCCACAGGGCGGCATCGCGCCGCCAACCAAGAGAATCATCTTCAACTTCGCCAAAGAGGTCGGCAGCCCGAGCGCCGTCGCCCGCACCGACTACGGCACAGCCTCCGGCAGCGCCCGGGCGGGGCTTCGCCCAGCACCACTCGCAACAGCTCTCGCGCGCCGCCGTCTGTGGCGACGCGCAGAACATCAACAACGCGCAACATGCGTGTCGCGCACTCATTCATGACCGGCCTCAATGTCCCACCCCCTGCGCGCGGGCCTTCTAGGCCCGCCCCAGGGCCTCCAGGGCTCGCACCAAACCCACACTCACAGACCACTCCGCGCCGTGCCGCAGGGTTCCAATTTTTCCGGGGCATGGTATGGTACCCTCGCGGCCCAAAGGGTGGGGGGGTATGGTCGTGACCGCCCATCCCCGGTCTCCGGGAGGCTGGGTCTGTCAGCAGGCGGGGGGGGTATGGTCTCGAGGTGGGTCGCGCCCAACCATACCATACCCCGCAGAAAGTCCAAACCCAGCAGCATCGACCAGCGCTTGGCTGGTTGATCCGCACGGCAAAGCGCGTTTATGACGGCCTTCGCCATCCCGCTCGCCTCTGCGACACTGCTACCTGCCACGCCACCTGGCTTCCGCTTCGAGGTCCTGCACGAGTCGCGCAAGCCCGGCTCGCGAGCGCGCGTCGGCCGCATCCACACGCCGCACGGAGTCATCGACACGCCAGGCTTCGTTCCCGTCGGCACGAACGCCGCGCTCAAGGGCATGACGAATGCCCAGGCGGCCTCCTGCGGCGTGCAGCTGCAGTTCTGCAACACCTACCACCTCATGGTGCACCCTGGCGTGGAGGTGGTCGAGGCGGCGGGCGGGCTGCACCGCTTCATGGGTCGACCCGACGGCCCGCCGCTGATCACCGACTCGGGCGGCTTCCAAGTCTTCTCGCTCGGCAAGGAGACGAACGACGACGCGCCGGAGCTCAAGCGACGTGCGGCGGCGCGGGGCCGCAACGCGGGCACGCTGCTCTCGATCAGCGAGCGAGGCGTGCGCTTCCGCTCGTACCGCGACGGCACGGTCCTGAGGCTGACGCCCGAGTCCGCGGTGCTCGCACAAAAGTCGCTCGGTGCCGACATCATCATCCCGCTCGACGAGCTCCCTCCGCTCAACGTGACGCGGGAGCGGCTGGCGCGCTCCGTCGAGCTGTCGCACCGTTGGATGACTCGCTCGCTGCACACGCACCTCGCCGACCCGCGCCAGCAGGCCATGTACGGCGTGGTGCACGGCGGCACGGACCGGCAGCTGCGAGCCCACTCGGTCGAGTACCTCTCCGGGCTGCCCTTCGACGGCTACGCGGTCGGCGGCTCGCTCGGCAGGGACCGCGACGAGATGCTCGCGCTGCTCGGCTACGTGCTGCCGCTGCTGCCGCGAGAGCAGCCGAACCATGTCCTCGGTATCGCGGACCCGGCCTCGGTGGAGCGCGGTGTGCCGCTTGGCGCAGACACCTTCGACTCCTGCTTCCCAACGCAAATCGCGCGGCACGGCACTCTGCTCACGGCATCCGGCCGAATACACATCGGGCAGGGCAAGTACAAGTCGCAGCACGACTGCCCGATCGACCCGGAGGCAGCCTCGGGCGCCGACTGCTGCGACGGTGTGTCGCGCGCGTACATGCACCACCTCTACAAGCAGCGCGAGCCGCTGTACGAGACGCTCGCCTCGATGCACAACGTCCGCTTCATGATGCGCATGATGGCCACGCTGCGGGAGAGGATCCTTGCGGACGATTTGTAGCGGACCCGGCACGTGCGCAGAGAGGCCACGAAGATGTACTTCGAGGTGCATAGACTCGGTAGAGCTCGCGCCTATGCGGGAGGGCTCCGGTCGAGAGAGGTTTTTTCAGTGTCAACACTCATCTTCAGACGACACCGACGACCGAGCGGACCCACACGCACACGACCGAGAGATTGCGTCAGGTGCCACTGGGTGCCCCCACGCGCCACGCCGCCCCGCGCTGCACTGCGCCGCCCAAATATGAAATAAATAAAACGGTCAATCTCTGAGACGAGCAGGTGTATTCTTTTTTTGCTTGGGGCGGCCAGCATGATGAACTTCTGCAAAAACCTGACCGGCCCCTGCGGTTTCTCTGGTAGGACGGGAACGAGATGATAGTAGGGAGTAGAAGAAAGCAAAGAGGAGCCCTGCGCACGCACGACTCCGCAGGAGAAACCCCTCCCCAGACAAAACACAAGGGAGAGGTGGGTGGGTCACAGAAAACTGCGGCCGCCAGCGACTGAGCGTCTCGCTGGCGGACGGGGAGAGGAACACAAAGGGACGTCCGGACGTCCATCCACTGGGATGAGAATACTGGAGATCTGAGGTCGAATCTGCCGATTCCACAGCCGCCCACAGGAGCGCCGCCTCAACACGGGGTCTCGGCTCTATCGAGCCATGCTAGCTCCAGCCGCAGCCCCACCCGGCCGCCCGAGGGTGTTCCCGCAGGCAGAGAAGACCAATCCTGGGGGAAGTAACCTTCTCTGGTAGGACGGGAACGAGATGATAGTAGGGAGTAGAAGAAAGCAAAGAGGAGCCCTGCGCACGCACGACTCCGCAGGAGAAACCCCTCCCGCCCGTGCTTGCGCAGCGCAGCCTCCTCCTCCCTACGCGCAAGCTGGGCATGAGGATGATGGCGATTATGTCATGGCGTTGACGATCGCCAGGCGGCAGAGAGCGTTGGCGCCGGTGCCGTGACCATGCATGAAGGGGGCGGAGAGGCGGCGTGCCTATCGAGGGTCACAGCCGTTACGAGGAAACAAGAATAAGATGTATAACCGCCGTGACGAGAAACAAGAATAAGATGTCCATTGCGTTATTAAAAAGAATAGCCCGCCTGATCTCTCTGATGAGTGCCCCCAAACGACCAAGCTCATCTCTCTTGAGTGGCCCTGGCCCCCAAACGCCGAGCTCATCTCTCTGAGGCCCCCCAAACGACCACAGGCAGCGGATGGCGGACGACTTGGGCTACGTTAGCCCGGGGTCGGCCGAGAGCGCAACGGGTAAGACCGGAGAATCGTCGCACGGCCGCCCAAAGCGCGAGGCACGTGCACCCTCACTCTTTGTTGCTGAGCCCTACCCCGGATGGCGTCCGAGCCCAAAGGCCGACGCAGAGGATGCCGCGAGGGCGGCCAAGGCGGCGGCTAGGGCTGCGGCAAAGGCGGCGGCGGCGGAGGGCGAGGCGGCGGCGGCGGAGGGCGAGGCGGCGGCGGCGGAGGGCGAGGCTTCGGCGATGGAGGGCGAGGCTGCGGCAGAGTCGTTGGCGGTGGAGGCAGAGGAGGAAACGGACGCGGAGTCAGAGATGGAGGTAGAGGTGGAGGTGGAGGACGGCGGCGACGGGGAGGACGGAGCCAGCACTCCCGAAGTGAAGGCGGAGGTTGGGCACGCGCCACGCAGCTCAGAGCAGCTCGGCGAGGGCAATCGCGGGCCGTCGACAACCGGCCGTCAGCGACGTGCGCCCGACCGGCTCATAGCGTCGGAGGACCCCCGCCGGCTCTGGTCTTGCAAGAAGCTCCAGCGGGGAGCGGACCAGGCTCTGGAGGCGTCGGCGGAGGAGGCGGAGGAGGGAGAGGAGGAGGAGGAGCCGGGGGAGGAGGAGGAGGAAGGGAGTGTGGGGTTCCCTGACTGGTGGGACCCGCATGCGCCCGCTTATCCGCGCGGCTTCATCAGGGCGTACGGCATCGCCAAGCAGCAGCCGCCCCAGCTCTTTGCCCGCACCGGCATGACCTTTGACCAGGCGAGGCGCGTCTTCAAGGAGGAAAAGCTCTTCGACAAGTCCAACTGGGACTCGAGCAGCTACAAGCGGTCGGAGCTCACAAACCTCATCGCCTCGTACAAAAGGTACTTCAACGCAGGCGTCTTCACGGGCGGACGCTGGCAGGCACTGGACACGGGCGGCGGCGGCGGCAGCGGCGGCGGCGGAGGCAGCAGCAGCGGCGGCGGAGGCAGCAGCAGCGGCGGCGGCGCGAGCGGAGGAGAGCCACGTGGCGCGTCAAAGCGGAAGCGGTGCGGCGAGTGCGCGGGCTGTCTTGCCCTGAACTGTGGCGAGTGCACCAAATGCCTCGACATGCCCAAGTTCGGCGGGCCAGGCGTGTCGAAGATGGTTTGCGTGCAGCGCCGCTGCCACCGCCTGCTGAAGCCGACGTGGCAAGAGCTCGCTTCTCCGCAGCACGAGCCGCACGAGCTCCTCGGGTGCCGCCTCCTCCGATACTTCAAGGACTCCGGCCGGTGGCACCAGGGCAGCATCGTCAAGTGGCTCCCGCCCGCCACCTCGAGCTCGCTCCCCACCAAGCCGGGGCAGGTCTCGGACGACACCGCGCTCTTCGGAGTGCGGCACGACGACGGCGACGAGGAGCAGCTCGAAGAGTACGAGGTGCGCGAGGCGATCGCTGCCTTTGAAGAGCGATGCGGCACGCCGCCGCTGCCGCCGCCGTCGCCGCCACAGCTGCAAGCGGCGCCCGCCCCGCCGGTGCAGTCAGGGGTCCTTGCCGTGGCCGCACAGACGGCGGGGCTGGAGGCGGCAGTCCGTGAGGGGTCGCAGCGGGTGCCAGGTGCCGCTTCCGCCGCCGCTTCCGCCTCCGCCCCCGCCTCCGCCTCCGCCGCCGCTTCCGCCTCCGGCGCCCTGTGTGGCATGATGGGCTGCAAGCTCCTGCGGAACCACAGCGGGGAGTGCATCGCTGTGCCGCTTCGGCCGCGGCCGCAGCTAAAGTTGCAGCCTCCGCCACAGCCTCCGCCGCCGCAGCTGGCATCGCAGCACGCGTCGCCGCAGCAGCCGCTAACCAGCCCGTCGCATGCGCTGCCGCCCGCTGCTGACACCGACCGGGTCGCCGCCTGCGGTGCGCAGACCGGCGCTGTCGACGGCGACGGCTCCGGCGGCAAGGGCGCCGCGGGGGAGGAGGCGGGGGAGTGGGGGACGCAGCAGCCGTACGACCAGGCGTTCGAGGAGGTGCGCGTGGAGTGGTGCGACGCGCTGGACGCTAGCCTGCTGGAGGCGGCGAGCGATCTGCTCAAGGCCCGCTTCCGCAGCAACAAGGCGCTCGTCGACCTGCTCGTCAAGAAGAAGGTTCGGAAGGGCGCCCACACGAACTACTGCGCCAACCCGACCGACCCGAGCGCTAAGGGTACACTCGAGAGCGCCTCCGACGTGGCGCAGCTCCACCTCGCCCTCGGCCTCGTCACCTACAAGGGCGAGCTGGTCGGGGCCGCCGCCATCAACCTCGTGCCGGCGTGCAAGCCCGCTAGGCGCGGCGCGATGTCCACCACGGGCGGCTTCTGGTGCGCCTCGGTGCTGCTCAAGGCGGTCAAGCCGGGCTTCGAGGGGCGCGGCGTCGCGCGTCGGCTCCGCCGGGCGAACGAGGCCTTCGCGCGCGCGCAGGGCGCTGGCCGGATGGTGGTACCGACCTCCGGCTCGTCGCGCGGCTGGTGGACGGGCACGAGTTCGCGGACGGGAGAGGAGCTCGGCGGCTTCACCGAGAGCCAGGGCTTCGACTCGCTCGAGTCGTTGCCGCGTCACCACGAGTTGGAGTTCCGGCAGCTGCCCGCCGCCTTCTTTCTTCCTTTTGACGGCGTGACGCTCTTCGTCAAGCCGCTCCCCTCGACGGCGCTCGACGCGGGCGAGGAGCAGGGCGAGGAGCAGGGCGAGGAGGGCGAGGAGACGGACGTCGAGGACAACGGAGAGCCGGACGAGGCGGGGGACGGCCCCCACCAGCCGGCCCTCGGGCGGCCGGACCAGCCCCCCGCCTCGAACGCGCACGGGAAGCGTCGCGCCGACGACGAGCCGGGCGAGGAGGTGCCGCTGCCGCAAGCCAAGCGGCCGGCGCTGCTGCTCGCACCCTCGGCGTCGCGCGCGGGCCCTTCCGATGCGCCCATGACGGCGTGCAGCGAAGGCGGCGGCGGCGGCGGCGCCTCTTTTGGCATCTCGACGGTCTCCGCCGCACCCAGCCTCGCGTCCAAGCTCGAGGCGCTCGAGGCGTGCCTCTTTGGCGCGGGGTACGTCCCGCCCTCGCTGGCGCCCCTGCGGCGGTGTGCGCGCGCCCGTCCACCCGAGACCCAGCTGCGGTGTGCTCACAGCCCCGTCTGGACTGCTGTAGGCTCACCGAGCTCGAGCAGTTCACCGAGACCCGCCCGGCGAGCTTTGGCCTGCCGTCGCGAGTGGCGGCACTCGAGGAGTGGGCGAAGGGCCAGGGGCTGATGCCCTAGCTCTGTCCTCCTGCCGCACCACTAGGCGGTCGCATCTCGAGTTCTCGACTGGGAGCGAGATGGGAGACCCAGGTTGCGAGGCGGGCCGGCGCGGTGGAGAGGTGGGCGAACCACACGCATCGAGCACTCGCCTACATTCATGAATGAAATGCGCTCCAGACTAGAGGAGAACGCAGATCTACGAAGCCAGGAAGCTGCGCATCGAGAGGTAGTAGAAACCCGTGATGCTGCGAGGTTGCACTGGTTGCTGTTGCTGTGAGTTGGAGTCTCGTACGGTACGGCTCTACGCACGCGCATTGTCGACACAGGAAAGACGCGCTCATCACTGGGACTCGTCTCTCGAGACTCAACACACCTCTGTCTCACTGTCTGGTCTCTGGACGGCGAGCTGAGCCGCTGTGACTGTGTGTGTGTGCGGAGAGCGGAGTTTGCGCGCGTCGTGAACGAAAACACGAAATATGTCCATTGCATGTGTTGAGTTGAGGTACACCGAACGTTTCCGTACTCCCTGTTTCTAAGAGCCGAACATCTATACGGGACTAGTACTACATGCACATGGGCATATGCACACAAGTCATTGGCGCACATACCGTCCCCTGCCACCGCTCGCTCACTGCTGGGTCTTCGCCCACGCCCGCAGCCGCTTGCGCGTCGCCTTTTCGAGGCAGCGGTTGTTTGCGCCGCGGAACTCCTCCACGCCGCTGCCGCCGAGGGCCTCCAGGAGCAGCACGGCCGCTGCGTCCTCAATGCCGCAGTCCTCGACGGAGAGCGTGCGCAGCGTCGAGTTCTTGCCGAGCGCCTCGGCGAGGTCCTTGGCGCTGGCGCCGATTTGGTTGCTGCTGAGGTTGAGATCCGTCAGCGTCGCGTTGGTAGCAAGCAGCGCCGCCCAGCTCGCCGCCACACCAGCGCCCATGTCGTTCTGTCGCACGTCCACGCTCGTGACCGAGGCGTTGGTTTTGAGGATCTCGGCGAGCGCACCCAGTGCCTCGTCCATCTGATTCCGGCCCAGGCGGAGCGACGTGACCGTCGTGTTCTCTTCGAGCGCGCGCACAAGAGGCATTGCGGCCTCGTCGCCGAGCCCTCGCCCATCGAGATTGAGCACTTTCAGATCGGGATGGTTGTTGCGCAGGTGCTCGAGCAAGAGCGGCGCGGGACGCCAGCCGGTGTCGCTGGCGCTATTCAGGCCCTTGTACTCCCACTCAAAGTAGGGCGAGGGCTCGCCGCCGGAGAGCGGCATCGCAGGGTGCGTCAGCAAGTCGCGGAGACCAGCGTGAACGCTGCGGGCGGAGTCCAGACTTCACCCAGAGCTAGACTTCACCACCCAGCAGGCAGGGCCACACCTTGTGAGAAGAATTCTACCTTAGTCTTGCCCGTAACCCGACACCGATCATCCGGCCCGCTGGGTGCGCTTCTGAGCTCCCCGGCCCTGGATGTGAGGTTAATGACTGCACTCCAAGTGCTCCAAGTGCTCCAAGTGCTTACAGCCCCTCTGTGAGAAGAAAAGCCACGTTGAGGTGCGAGTTCACACAAAAACACAACCCCGGACCCAAGACGCACAAGCAAGCACAGACACTCGAGAAGGGAGAGACAGCAACGACAGTCAGAAGCCAGCGCTGGGTACCAGGTACCTTTAACCCTGGTAGGTGGATTGTCCAAAATACGTCAGCCTCGCACGCCTAGCGCTAGGTCTGACACCCGACCGCCTCCCCCTCTCTAATATTAACCGGTCAGAGTACATTTTGGCCGGCTAATGTTAGGGAGGGGAGGCCAAAAAACGCAGACTTTTGTCCACCTACCAAGGTTAATCAGCTGGACCGAATTTTACCAAGTTGGACGCCGTTGGACGTATCCAGTGTTCACTGTCTACGTGTAGCGTCGGGCGCTGCGCGATAGCTGCTTTGTGGGTCCCGTGAGCCAAGTCAGCGTCGGGCTGCGCAGCCGGTCGCCATATGTTCGCTCGCCGTGGTCACAAGCCATCGAGGAAGCCACCACACCAGGGCCACAATCGCGTTGCGGACCAGGTTTGTGACCCTGGCGGTGGCGAGCCTTTGGCGCACAGCGTGAGCATGCCAGCACGGCTCGCATCAGGGCTGCACCCGTCGCCGAGCACCTCGTACACTCCACACGGATCGATGCCACGAGCCCGCTACGCGGCTGCACCGAGTGGCTCTCTGTGGCAGGGAGTGCACTTTTATGCCACATGTTGGCGTTGCCTCGCAGCATGCCGAGTGGGCCTTCTGTCTCTGAGGAAGAACTGCGATAAGCCGGCGTTTTTCTTCTTTCCGATAGCCTTGAGCTCCGG